AAGTCCGTCCCCCGCTCTTGGCTCCTGACTCGGCCTCTTTGAGCACCACCCTGGGCATGTGTCCGCGAGTTATTATTGAGTCACTACTGCGCAAGACCTAATATTCGCGAAGGCATGAAGAAACCATTCAAAAGGGTGCTGGCAGGTGTTTCTGTCAGTAAATGTGTTTTGTCAACTAGCAAGTTACTCCCTTGCCAATGAACATGGAAACCCGCAAAGCTATGATCTGTAGAGGGGCCAGCTTTTGGGTTTCATGTTTATCTGAGCAAACCCAACACCAGCCAGTCGCCGACACGTGATCAACCCTTGCGGCCGTTGAGTAGGCACCCACTGTCATTTATAGCCCAGGAAGCGCTAGATCCGGGCAATTGCGACCTCACTCGTGATGAAGGCTTCCTTTGTGTTGGGGTCCCTGATTTCCGGTCGGACAACTACAAGCTTCCCATGCTACCCAAACTACTTTGCTCCAGCCTGGAAGCCTGTGATTTGCTTGCTCCCCTACATGGTCTAACCTCAAATCCCCTTCTAAAAGTTTAACTTTTAGTGGGTTAAATGGACATCCCCACTAAACACTAAAAGGCCAAAAAGCTACGGGGATGGCTGGGAGCCACCAAGCTACATGGAACCCAGCAAAAGCCTGGCGCATGAACCCCCGTTTGGGGCAGCCGCTGGGGTTACTTCCCTACATTTTGGCGGGGAGGAATCGCGGGTCACTGCCCCGCCTGGCAGTCACAATCTTTGCCCGGGCCTGGCGCTGGAAACAAAATCCGCGGGTTTTGTTCAAACCGCGCCGCAAAATCGACGCAAGTTACGACATGAGAATACTCCCCAAATTCACATGACATGCACCCCCCCCCAAAAAAAAAACGGCATGTTTACAGCAGTCTCCATTTGTGGCACTTGCCTCTGTTTGGCGTTCCACCTTTGAGCACCTACGTTTGGGTTCCACCGACGGTGGACGCCAAAGGCAGGGTGCAGACTCAGCTTCCCTCTAGTTTCAACACCTGATCTCGCCCACACAGGCCGCAAATTCAGGAATTTGCAAAAAATCCAAAGAAACCCAATCCGAAAAACTCAATCTGAAATAGTCTGAATCTGGGAAGACTCAAAATAAACACAACAAAAACTCCAAAATAACTCAAGCAGCAATTCACATCACAAGTTACACGAAACAACAAAACACAAAAATCCCCCCAACAAAACTCAAAAAACTCATTCCCAAGCACGAGTGGACACCTTCTCCCTACCTACAACCTAGAATGCAGCAAGGCGGCCAGTGGTATTGTGTCAAGCCACACAAACAAAGCACGCTGTGTGTTTTAGTGTTTTTTTTGAGTCTCCTGCTGTGTTTTTGTTGTGTTTTTGTTGAGTTTCCTGCTGTGTTTTTCTTGTTTTCGTTTTGAGTCTGCTGCTGTGTATTTTTTTGTGTTTGTTTTGAGTCTGTGTTTTCGGTTGGGGTTTTTGGCTGAGTTTTTTTCTGATTTGTTGTTTGAGTTTTTGTTTGTTCGGCTAAAACCTCTCCTGTCTGAGCCCGTCTAGTCATAACTCTAGTTGGTGACTTGGAGCTCGGCGGCTTGGTGGTTCTGACCGGTTGCAAGGATGTCGCAAAATGCGCGGAGCAAAGCTGTCTGGAGCCTTCCAATGTTCACTCCGCAGGTTTCTGCCGCATCCTCACCGCGAAAAGCTGCCAGGCCTTGTCCCCCTTCTCTTTGGCGGGCTCCTGGACGAGATGGCTCTTACAGCCCAAATCGCCCCGAAGGGAAACGAACCACAGTATGACAAAATCAAGGACACCCGGAGTAAAAGGCAACACACTCCAGCGTGCAATGCATTAATTGCCGAGGTCGTATCTCATGTTCCTCCAGGGGAGTTGTGTAGAAGCTCGTCTAGACTTGCAGGTCAAATGTGGAGCCCAAAAACAAACAGTGAAGAAATCCGATGGGCAATCTGCATTTTGTTCACGTGACGCCAAAGGTTTTTCGCCGGTCGTTGCAATACAAGAGTGTATTAGTCTTTGCCAGCATTGCGCAAGTCAACTATACAAGCGCATACTGCAATGGCAAAACACAAATGGACCCGTGCCTGTCAAAACGGAGGACGCCCAAAAGTGTAAGCTCCGTAATTATTCTGTCAAACAAGCGCCCAAAAAGATTCGCTGACTTGACACATGACCACATGCTGCTTCCAGAGTTCCCTCTGCCATAAACATCACCACAGCAATAGGAGACTCACCCAAACCACCAAAAGGTGTCAACTCGCAGGAAAGGGAAACACGAGACCCCTGCAGTCCCCAGCTCAATCGACCACAAACATGGTCTTTCCGGAGACTGGGGCGAGTCACACTTCCGTGCAACTGCGCAGTTTCCTGCCTTCACTTCTGCCTTTTCCACCTTGCCAGGCTTCTCCTCGGGAAAGGGTTTCACATGGTTTGACCCCATGTGTCCCGCAACATTACCCAAAGCTTTCTGAAGATAGATACTGCCCTCCAAAAACAACAAACACACACGCATACCTGAATCATCCGCGCAACCCGGTATCAAGGAAGTCTGGCATCTATCCAAAGCCATGTAAGGAGCCACAAAGGCAGCCGCGCCTATTTGTGGTTGGGAATGCCTGCTTCCAGCTATGCATCCTCAAGATGCCCCGAATGTGGTTTTGCCCCCTTGCCTCCCCCAAAACGGGGTGCTACAAACGCAGCATAATGTCCAAGAAATCCAAGTGGGTATTGTCGGGACCCTTTCAAAACCATCAACAGGTTGTTGCTTTGTATTTTGATATAACATAAAAGAAAGCTTAGGCCTCCCGCGCACAGGCCCGAAAAAAACATGTCACGAATATCCAAATGTGTACCGTTGTTCGGGTATCCTTCTTGGGGTTTTCAAGGGAACTCAAAAGGACACCGAAAAGAACGGGTGGCCAGAATCGCCCTACTGTAGCCATAGACGCTGAACGAACCAGCATCCGCGTAAATGCTGTCACATTGACATATGCGCGCCTTGCCTTTCTAGGCGTATTGGGGGGATGCTATGCAATTTTTGTAGGGCGCAAGCTACTGAACTATCTCCATCTCTCTCTCTCTCTCTCTCTCCCCCTCTGTCTCTCTCTCTCTCTCTCTCTCTTTCTCTGTCTCTCTGTCTCTCTGTCTCTCTGTCTCTCTGCCTCTCTCTCTCTCTCTCTCGCTCTCTCTCGCTCTCGCTCTCTCTCTTCTCTCTCTCTGGCTTCACTTGCGGTGATGCGCCTTGTTCGCCTTGTGTAGAGGATTTGCAGTCGCTCCAGCCTTCGCACGGCAAAGAACCACGTGATCGAGACACGTGCCCTCGTTAATCTAACACCCACCACCAATCAAATATTTTGCCTAGTTTACCTTCAGGTTTCTGTGGGGATGTCAACCAACAGGAAACTATAGCATACCGTCAGATTTGTCTTTGTACCTCAAAGGGGAACGCCCTTTTAAGCGGAACGTGTCCCCCTGTGCTGTTCCTTTCACGCACCAAAAGAGCAGTCTCCCCAGGAAGACTCAGCGTGGCACTGCCTTCTTCTCAGCCATCTCGGTCGGAGCTTTCGGCTTCTGCGCCTGCCGAACAAAGCCGGTTTCGTCCAATAGCTCAGCGACCCTCGGACAGGGATTGAACCTACTTGGTTTGGACCATGGGGAAAGAGGCCCTGGGTTTGTAGGTAACCAAGACAAGTCCTCTGGTGATAGACTCTCCTTAAACTCAACAGGGAAAATTGACAACAGCATCAGCAAATGGAAGTAACCAAGGGAACCATCCTTGAAAAACCCGAAAACCAACATCGTGAAAGGCTGCCTATGGCTTTGCGAAACGCGATCCAGATTTACTAAGATTCACGATTCCAGTGCTCAGCAACGCTGCCCAGTTCGGAGCTGGAACTAAAAGTGAAGGTGATTACCTTTTGGGGGCTGAAAATAAAAGTAAACATAAGTTGTTGCAGCGGACCTTAACTATTGTTATGATGGGCAAACCTAGGCAAACACTGCAAGCATAAGTTCAATTAAAAGTACACACAAATAATACCATGAGATACAAACCTAAAATTCACCCAGAGAAACATCCCGGAATCCAAAGTGTTGCTTGCAGTGTTTGCCCATGCTTGCAGTGTTGACTAGGTTTGCCCATCATAACAATAGATAAGGTCCGTTGCAACAACTTATCTTTACTTTTATTTTCAGCTCCAGCTCCGAACTGGGCATATGGTTCTCTCTTTCATTTGACCAAGCAACCAACCAACTTGTCTTGCTGAGCACCGGAATCGCAAATCCCAGTGGATCCCGGATCGCGTTTCGGAAACCATAGGCAGCCCTTGACGATGTTGCTTTTCGGGTTTTTCAAGGGTGGTTCCCTTGGTTACTTCCATTTGCTGATGCTGTTTTCAACCCTAACAAAAGCGGAACGTGTCCCCCTGTGCTGTTCCTTTCACGCACCAAAAGAGCAGTCTCCCCAGGAAGACTCAGCGTGGCACTGCCTTCTTCTCAGCCATCTCGGTCGGAGCTTTCGGCTTCTGCGCCTGCCGAACAAAGCCGGTTTCGTCCAATAGCTCAGCGACCCTCGGACAGGGATCGAACCTACTTGGTTTGGACCATGGGGAAAGAGGCCCTGGGTTGTAGGTAACCAAGACAAGTCCTCTGGTGATAGACTCTCCTTAAACTCAACAGGGAAAATTGACAACAGCATCAGCAAATGGAAGTAACCAAGGGAACCATCCTTGAAAAACCCGAAAACCAACATCGTGAAGCGCTGCCTATGGCTTTGCGAAACGCGATCCGGGATCCACTGGGATTCGCGATTCCGGTGCTCAGCAACGTGGGCTTCTCCAAGTTGACAAGTTGGTTGGTTGCTTGGTCATTGTAGAGAAAACCATCTGCCCAGTTCGGAGCTGGAAATCAAAGTAAAGATCACTTGGTGCAACGGACCTTAACTATTGGACCACCACTGGAAAAACAAAAAACAACTCAATTGGTCCAAAAGGTCGACTTTGGGCAACTGAGCCGTATACCCCTTATAGTCCTGTCGCGCAGCAGCGCTTCTCAATTCATGTTTGCTTGTGCTAACATCAAACCCATCGTCATGTATTTTGGTGTGTCTCTTTTGAGGGTACCCTTTTTGGTCTGTTTCAAAGGGAACCAAAAGAAAACATTTTCTTTGGGGTGCCCCCTAAACAATGACGCACGCATCTGGCCCCTGTCTGACTCAGCGCTCATAGCCGGCCAGGTTCGATCCAATCGAAAAAACCGTTTTGCGAACCATCTCGGAACAGCTCAAAGCAGACATTGTGAGCTCTCTGTGTGTGTGTGCCACCCGTGTCTGGGACAGTGTTAATACGCTGGACCGACAAGCTACGTTGGGTGACCCAAAATGGGTTGGAACAAATGGGTTGTCCTTTGGTGCAATACTACCGCTGAAAATCCTTGCCGGCTCCCCATTGGAAAACCTTGAAGCAAAACCACCAACTAGGTCCTCCAGTAGAGGTACCCTTTCTGCAGTCTATTTTAGTAGGGAAACCCTCCCAACCCAAAAAGAAACGCTAAAAGGGCACCTAGCTGGGGGACCTAGACAAGGGTATCAACCTAAAAACGAGACAACCATTTTGACGCTCACTTCCTTGCAAGGCGATTCGAATCTCTAGGGGTTGATTCCCCATTCCTTTCAGCCATCATTCTTTTCAAAAACCGATCGCCATTTCCCCAAATGTTACCCGGTGGTTTTCTAGAAACAAGGATCCATGGAAAGAATGGACATGGAAGTTACCCCGAGAAAATCCGACACTCTGCCTGCGGCTTCTCAAGCTTCTGAGCTTCCGCCTCGCAAGCTCGCAAGCTCGAGGCTTGCATGGTATCAACATGGTCGACCCAAAACCGTGTCTCAAGAATTCAGGGGGCAAAGGCCCGCAGAAAATGTCTGGCTGGGACTGTCCATTAACCTTCATCTACCCGAGTTTTGATTATGACTTACATAAACCCACAAGGGTCCCAAGGGGTCATCAGGTGGCTGGGGTCGGCACGTTCGCCTTCTTGCCGTTCTTTTCTGCTGGCTTCTCTGCCACCTTCTCTGTGACTGCCCCTTTCTGCGCAGCTGCTTTGGCGGTCACATTGCCTGCGATCTTCTTCTCTGGCGCAGTAGCCTTCTTGCCTTGCACAGTGTCTGCAGCCACAGCTTTCTTCTCTGCCGCTGCCACATCAGCCTTCTTGTCTGACACTGCGACAGCCTTCTTCTCTGCCGCTGCCGCATCAGCCTTCTTGTCTGACACAGCGACAGCTTTCTTCTCTGCCGCTGCCACATCAGCCTTCTTGTCTGACACTGCCACAGCCTTCTTCTCTGCCGCTGCCACATCAGCCTTCTTGTCTGACACAGCGACAGCTTTCTTCTCTGCCGCTGCCACATCAGCCTTCTTGTCTGACACAGCGACAGCTTTCTTCTCTGCCGCTGCCACATCAGCCTTCTTGTCTGATGCTGCGACAGCCTTCTTCTCTGCCGCTGCCACATCAGCCTTCTTGTCTGATGCTGCGACAGCCTTCTTGTCTGCCTTGCCTGTCGCCTTGTCTATCTTCTTCACTGCCTTCGAAGTCTTCTCTGCTGCCTTCTTAGCCGACTTCTCCGCCGTCTTTTTGACTGCCTTCCAAGGCTATGCAGTTGCTAAAATAGCTCAAAAAAGGCATACAAAGTGCGGCACCTACGCGCCCACTACGTGGCCTAAGTACATCCTTAGAGGGTGCCTGCACACTTTGGAGCATGATGGTTGTGTTTCCGACCTTGTCCAACTCCCTTCCTGTGGCTACAAGGCTGCCTGAGAAGGCTTGAGAACTCTCTGTCTACATCCCCTGGAACCTCTAAGCAAGTATGTTTGTTTTCACGGGCTATTTACAAAGCAATGTTTCCCTCAACACACTCGGGCCCTTTTTCAAACGCAAGTCAAAGGCATGCAAAGGAAGGAAGGCGAGGCACAGCATCACCCCTTACCACTTGCTTGGACATAGCCAACCTCCCCCAAGCCCTCCCGCCCAAAAATGCAAAACTCCAGAAATGGTGTAGCATCCCTCATTCAATTCACTTCCCAAGGTTCAGGTGCCGGGTTGCAAAAAAACAGCCCTTTTTGCATGCGCGTCATGGGGTCCAAGAGTGGATCCAGAATCTGACAACCTTCATTTGCAAGGGGCTCAAGGCAACCCAAAATGCTTGGCTGCCCCTTTTCGATTGAACGCAGACAGGTTCCGAGAGGGTAATTGCGTGTTTCTTGTTCACTTCAAAAGGTGAATTTACTGGTGGATCTCATTAAAACCATCGCCACATTTAGTGGTTCCAAAAAAGCGCAGATTAGCAGGTGAACCATACTTGGCTGAAATTAGGACCCCAGCAAAAAACAATATTTGTTGCCTGGCTAGTGGAAAACAAAGGGGATCCCAAAAAAGCCAAAACACAAGGAACTGCTTCTGGGGAAGCATAGTGGGTGGTTTGGACTGATGGTTTGCTAGGTCCTCCAGTAGAGAGGTTAGAATAAGGGTACCCTTTTTCTGCAGTGAATTTGAGTAGGTGAATCCTCCCAACCCAACAAAAAAAAGCGGTAGAAGGGCACCTAGCTGGGGCACCTAGGAGGGAAGCTGAGAGGCCTCGGCTTTCTTGGCCGCCGTCTTCAAATTATGCTGCTGCTGCAGGGCCGCCCTCAGCTCCTCCTGCGAAGCACCAAAACTAATTGTCATGATCCTCATAAAATGCTCCAATTAGTAGATGATCCAATTATTAGATGTATGCCACTATTATGATCCAATCATGTTCATGATCCGAAAACTAGATCCAAAAAAATGTGATCCCTATTCCCTAGTATGATCCAAAACAAAATGCTCCAATTATTGGATGTACACCACTCGTGCACGATAAATGCCTCTGTTTCTATTCATAACATAGGAAAGAGTTGGGTAAATATCTAGGCACAGCTCACGAAGAACCCACAAGACTCCACTGAACACACTTTCATGTTATTTAAGAAAAATATGTGGTTTCCATTGAACAAAATGGGTGCCTGGACAAGTGGGGTCGGACAGGAGGGATTCCACTCGGGAGACCTAACTAAAAGCGGCGAAATCCACGCACTGCTTTACGGAATTCAGACATGGCTTACTTTAGCGTGCACATAGTAAATACGTGAATCGTGATATGCTTGTTGTGCCCAAAGGTAAAAACGCTGCATTCAAGTTGCATCGACCACGTTACTCCCTATCTTCTGCATCAGTGGGAACGAGTTTCCAGGATCCAACGGCGAGTGGGGCCAGCGGCCGCGTCTCAATGCAAAAAGTCCAACATGCTTGCCCTGCGGCAAACATCAAACATCAGCCGTTGGGGCTAAAGAGTACAGCGTGCACCGTAGACTTACATTCATGCACATATGCACATATACATACATATATGGGTTTGTATTTTTTTAGGGTGGCCGGGCAGGAAGGTTTGAGTACGGGGTATGATTCGCAGGTATGATTCGCGGGTATGATTCGGGGTATGATTCGGGGGTATGATTCGCGGAAGCAGCAGCAGCAGCAGTAGTAGTAGCAGTAGTCGCCGAAGTAGTAGTACTAGTAGTAATATTGCAGTTGTAACAATAGTAGTAGTAGTAGTAGTAGTAGTAGTAGTAGTAGTAGTAGTAGTAGTAGTAGTAGTAGTAGTAGTAATGGTAGTAGTAGTAGTAGTAGTATTAGTTAGTAGTAGTAGTAGTAGTAGTATTAGTTAGTAGTAGTAGTAGTTGTTGTTGTTTTTGTTGTAGTAGTAGTAGCAGCAATAGTAGGAGTAGTAGTAAATAGTAGTAGCAGTAGTCCTAGTAGTAGTAGTAGCAGTAGTCGTAGTCGTAGTAGTAGTAGCAGCAGTAGTAGTAGTAGTAGTAGTCGTAGTAGTAGTAGTAGTAACAGTAGAAGCAGCGACTGTAGTGGCGCGGAAGCTTTGAAAAGACTTGGCGCTGGCCTTGGCAAGGCAAGTTCATTGCGCGGGTATGATTCGGGTATGAGTCGCGGGTATGATTCGGCTAGGTGCAAAACGGCACTGATTACAAACTCGTAGTAGCTGTGGTAGTAGTAGTAGTAGTAGCAGTAGTAGTGGTAGTAGTAGTAGTAGTAGCAGTTGCAGAAGTAGTGGTAGCAGCTGTAGCATAAGCAGCAGCGGCTGTAGTGGTGCGGACGCTGTGAAAAAGACTTAGCACTAGCCTTGGCAGGGGAAGCTCATTGTCCGGGTATGATTCGGGTATGATTCGCGTATGATTCGGCTAGGTGCAAAACGGCACTGATTACAGACTCAGAATGATGTATGTGGTAGTAGTGAGTAGTAGCAGCAGCAGCAGCAGAAGCAGGAATAGTAGTAGTAGAAGTAGTAGTAGTAGTAGTAGTAGTAGTAGTAGTAGTAGTGGTGGTAGTAGTAGTAGTGGTAGTCAAGGTTGTAGTCGAAGTAGTAGTAGTAGTAGTAGTAGTAGTAGTAGTAGTAGTAGTAGTAGTGGCAGAAGTAGTGGCAGAAGTAGTGGTAGTAATAAAGGTAGTAGTCGTAGTAGTAGTAGTAGTAAAAGTTGTAGTCGTAGTAGTTAGTAGTAAGGGTAGCAGAAGCAGAAGTAGAAGCAGTAAAGTAGTAGTAGCAGCGGTAGTAGCGGTGGTAGTGGTAGCAATACTCGTAGTCGCGGTAGTAGCAGTAGTAGTAGTAGTGGTAGTAGCAGTAGTAGTAGTCGTAATTGGAGTAGTAGTGGTAGTAGTAGTAGTAGTAGTAGTAGTAGTAGTAGTAGTAGTAGTGGCAGTGGCAGTGGTAGTGGTAGTATTGGGTAGCGCTGGTGGTGGTTGTTGTGGAGACAGTGAAAAACACAAAACGGTAGAAGAACAGTAGCATCTTGCAGCATACGTTTTAAGGGGTATGATTCGGGGGTATGATTCGGGGTATGATTCGGGGGTATGATTCGGGGGTATGATTCGGGGAGGTCCCACCTTCTGCCTTTTGAAGCAACTCAACACACCAAAAAAGGACAAACCCATATATGTATACCTGTAGGCGTGTCCAACCTCCAGCAGTCATATGAGGGATGGTTACCAACATGGTTCATATCCACCTTCACGAACACACCATCTTGGTGAACCCACACTCTAGAGGAACCCATACCAAGATGGTCATATCCACGTTCAAGGGCAATCTCTTAGTGAACCCACTCTCTACTAGGTTCCCCTGCGTAGATTCACCAGGGTGTGCCCGTGAACGTGGATATAACCATCTTGCTGGTGTGGGTCTGGAGCGTGGATTCACCAAGAGAGCAAGGTTCAAGCAAGGTTCCGGAGGCTTCGGGATGGCCTGGTGCAGGCCAGGTGTGAGGTTCAAGCAATCTAGGTCCTCCAGTAGAGAGGATAGAAAAAGGGTACCAACGTTTTGCTGTCTATTTTCAAAGGAAGTTTAACAAGAAACTTCCGTAGTACTGGAACTAAATGAGCTAGCTGCTTTGACATATAGCTATGACAGGTAGCTAGCTGACAAATAGATAGCTTTGACATATAGCTAGCTTGACAGATAGATAGCTTTCCAATAGGCTTGCATGACAAATAGATAGCTTTGACATATAGCTAGCTTGACAGATAGATAGCTTTCCAATAGGCTTGCATGACAAATAGATAGCTTTGACAAATAGCTAGCTTGACAGATAGATAGCTTTCCAATAGGCTTGCATGACAAATAGATAGCTTTGACATGACAAATAGATAGCTTTGACATATAGCTAGCTTGACAGATAGATAGCTTTCCAATAGGCTTGCATGACAGATAGATAGCTTTGACATATAGCCAGCTTAACACGTTGATAGCTTTCTCAAGTATAGATTTCGTGGCAGGCGCAGCACTTTCGCAAGCACTCTCTGCGAGCTGGGGGATGGCAAGATGCAGAAAACGTTGGCGCTGTGCGTGAATTGGGCTTCCGGACAATGCGCAAAACACCTCGGCTGCGACGCCTGTACGGAGGCGGTCTCGGAACGGTCTCGGAACGGTCTCGGAACGGGTTCGGAGACGGGCCCATTGGCACGGCGGCGCGAAGGTTTCGCAAGGTTTGAATTGCGTGGCAGGCGCAGCACTTTCGCAAGGTCAAGTATAGATTTCGTGGCAGGCGCAGCACTTTCGCAAGGTCAAGTATCGATTTCGTGGCAGGCGCAGCACTTTCGCAAGCACTCTCTGCGAGCTGGGGGATGGCAAGATGCAGAAAACGTTGGCGCTGTGCGTGAATTGGGCTTCCGGACTGTGCGCAAACCACCTCGGCTGCGACGCCTGTACGGAGGCGGTCTCGGAACGGTCTCGGAACGGGGAACGGGTTCGGAACGAGACGGGCCCATTGGCACGGCCGCGCGAAGGTTTCGCAAGGTTTGAATTGCGTGGCAGGCGCAGCACTTTCGCAAGGTCAAGTATAGATTTCGTGGCAGCCGCAGCACTTTCGCAAGGTCAAGTATCGATTTCGTGGCAGGCGCAGCACTTTCGCAAGGTGCTGCGTCCACTCTCTGCGAGCTGGGGGATGGCAAGATGCAGAAAACGTTGGCGCTGTGCGTGAATTGGGCTTCCGGACAGTGCGCAGACCACCTCGGCTGCGACGCCTGTACGGAGGCGGGTGCGGAACGGGTTCGGAACGGTCTCGGAGACGGGCCCATTGGCACGGCCGCGCGAAGGTTTCGCAAGGTTTGAATTGCGTGGCAGGCGCAGCACTTTCGCAGCACTTTCGCAAGGTCAAGTATAGATTTCGTGGCAGGCGCAGCACTTTCGCAAGGTCAAGTATCGATTTCGTGGCAGGCGCAGCACATTCGCAAGGTGCTGCGTCCACTCTCTGCGAGCTGGGGGATGGCAAGATGCAGAAAACGTTGGCGCTGTGCGTGAATTGGGCTTCCGGACTGTGCGCAAACCACCTCGGCTGCGACGCCTGTACGGCGGCGGTCTCGGAACGGGTTCGGAACGGGTGCGGAACGGTCTCGGAGACGGGCCCATTGGCACGGCCGCGCGAAGGTTTCGCAAGGTTTGAATTGCGTGGCAGGCGCAGCACTTTCGCAAGGTCAAGTATAGATTTCGTGGCAGGCGCAGCACTTTCGCAAGGTCAAGTATCGATTTCGTGGCAGGCGCAGCACTTTCGCAAGGTGCTGCGTCCACTCTCTGCGAGCTGGGGGATGGCAAGATGCAGAAAACGTTGGCGCTGTGCGTGAATTGGGCTTCCGGACTGTGCGCAAACCACCTCGGCTGCGACGCCTGTACGGAGGCGGTCTCGGAACGGTTCGGAACGGTCTCGGAGACGGGCCCATTGGCACGGCCGCGCGAAGGTTTCGCAAGGTTTGAATTGCGTGGCAGGCGCAGCACTTTCGCAAGGTCAAGTATAGATTTCGTGGCAGGCGCAGCACTTTCGCAAGGTCAAGTATCGATTTCGTGGCAGGCGCAGCACTTTCGCAAGGTGCTGCGTCCACTCTCTGCGAGCTGGGGGATGGCAAGATGCAGAAAACGTTGGCGCTGTGCGTGAATTGGGCTTCCGGACTGTGCGCAAACCACCTCGGCTGCGACGCCTGTACGGAGGCGGTCTCGGAACGGTCTCGGAACGGTCTCGGAACGGGTTCGGAACGGGTTCGGAGACGGGCCCATTGGCACGGCCGCGCGAAGGTTTCGCAAGGATTGAATTGCGTGGCAGGCGCAGCACTTTCGCAAGGTCAAGTATAGATTTCGTGGCAGGCGCAGCACTTTCGCAAGGTCAAGTGCCAAATTCGTGGCAGGCGCAGCACTTTCGCAAGGTCAAGTACAAAATTCGTGGCAGGCGCATCACTTTCGCAAGGTCAAGTACAGAATTTGTGGCAGGTGCAGCACTTTCGCAAGGTCAAGTGCAAAATTCGTGGCACGCGCAGCACTTTCGCAAGGTCAAGTACAGATTTTGTGGCAGGCGCAGCACTTTAGCAAGGTCAAGCACAGATTTGGTGGCAGGCGCAGCATTTTTGCAAGGTCAACTTTCGCAGCCGGGGCTCGAAAATCGCAACTTTTAAGTACGAAAGTAGTACGCGAAGTCAACTTTCGCAGCTGGGGCTTGAAAATCGCAACTTTTAAGTACGAAAGTAGTGCGCAAAGTCCACTTTCGCAGCCGGGGCTTGAAAATCGCAACTTTTAAGTACGAAAGTAGTACGCAAAGTCCACTTTCGCAGCTGGGGCTCGAAAATCGCGACTTTTTAGTACGAAAGTAGTACGCGAAGTCCACTTTCGTAGCTGGGGCTCGAAAATCGCAACTTTTAACTACGAAAGTAGTACGTGAAGTCCAGTTTCGCAGCTGGGGCTCGAAAATCGCAACTTTTAAGTACGAAAGTAGTACGCGAAGTCAACTTTCGGGGATTGAACATCGCAACTTTTAAGTGCAGAGAAAGATGGGTAGATAGATAGATCAATAAACAGATATAGAGATAGCTAGAGAAATAGATAGAAAGAGATAGAGAAACAGAGATAGACAGAGATAGATAGATTTGTAGATAGATAGACAAATAACTAGCTAGATAGATAAAGAGATAGAGAGATAAATAAATAGAGAGGTAGATAGATAGATAGGAGATAGAGAGGTAGATAGATAGGTAGATCTATAGATAAATCGCAACTTTTAAGTACGAAAGTAGTACGCGAAGTCAACTTTCGCAGCTGGGGCTTGAAAATCGCAACTTTTAAGTACGAAAGTAGTGCGCAAAGTCCACTTTCGCAGCCGGGGCTTGAAAATCGCAACTTTTAAGTACGAAAGTAGTACGCAAAGTCCACTTTCGCAGCTGGGGCTCGAAAATCGCGACTTTTTAGTACGAAAGTAGTACGCGAAGTCCACTTTCGTAGCTGGGGCTCGAAAATCGCAACTTTTAATTACGAAAGTAGTACGTGAAGTCCAGTTTCGCAGCTGGGGCTCGAAAATCGCAACTTTTAAGTACGAAAGTAGTACGCGAAGTCAACTTTCGGGGATTGAACATCGCAACTTTTAAGTGCAGAGAAAGATGGGTAGATAGATAGATCAATAAACAGATATAGAGATAGCTAGAGAGATAGATAGAAAGAGAGAGAAAGAGACAGAGAAACAGAAAGAGAAAGAGAAAGAGAAAGAGAAAGAGAGAAAGAGAGAAAGAGAGAAAAAGAGAGAGAGAGAGAGAAGCAAGGGGCCAAGGACAGTTCTCCAAACTATAGTTGTTCACTGCTTTGAAACTTCCGCCCCCCGGCTCTGCCGGACCTTACTTGTAGTAGGGTCCCGAACCCTCCCCCAAAAAAGAAACTGTAAAAGGGCACCTAGCCGGGGGACCTAGCAATGGTTCCCCAGCTGACAGCTTTGGGGTTTGGTGGTCCGCGAGGTTCCGCATTCCGGGGCCTGCTTTCACGGGCTATGTATTGAAACAAAGCGCTCTGAGCTTTGGGTTGTTGCTATGTCACTCCCAATTAACATGTAGACTATATTGACTCATGCTTTTGTCAGGTTCTTTGTGTGGAAAAGGTATATCCCTTAAATTCTAATTGAAGGTAGAAAGTGTAATTACATGTTTGCCTCTGAATATTCCAAGACATTCTAACTAATCTTAGTTTAGCACCATATGTGCGAAGGAATTCCTGTTTGAACCGAATCAAATAGCATTTGAATCCAATTTGTCACAAAGAACCTTGGAAGAAGCTTAGCTTCATTGAGGAGTCACAAGGGGCATTATAAGGAGCTTTACAAGGAGCCTTGCAAGGAGCTTTATAGTGAGCCTCAAAAGTGGCAAGGAGCCTTACGAGGAGCGCTCAAGAAGCTTTATCAGGAGCCTTGAGAGGAGCTGTGTATCAGCTTGAGTCAAAACTTTAACGCGAGGTTGCATACTCCAACTCAAAATCGAACACCGTCGAAAACCTATACCGATACATGCACTTGAATTCCAGTGAAATTCAAATAAGCTCCTCGATGTTTGTTTGTGTTTGGTGAGTGTCAGCTGGAAAAACGCGGCACACCAGGTCATGTGTAGTTTTACATGTAACTATGCAAACAACATACCAGCATAATCTCCACATCCCTCTAATGTCCTAGGAGCTTCCGCGTTGCCAGCTTCCATCACCCCTTGTCCCCTCGTGCGCAACCCCCAAAGAAATGGCAATGACAACTCCGTAGGTCAACAATGGTGGTTATACAATCCCAATTGCACAAAGCCATTCTTTTGACATTTTCTTGGTCCTCCAGTAGAGAGGTTAGAATAAGGCTACCTAGTTTTAGCTTCCCCTTTTTGCCCCCCCCCCCCCCCCCCCGACCCCCACCCCCACTCCAACCCCCACCCACCCCCACCCCCCACCCCCCAGCCCCACCCTCCCGCCTTCTTGGCCTCCAGCTCTTGGGCCGCCAACTTCCACTGCGCCGCCCTCGCCGCCTTCGCCTTCGCCTCGGCGAGGGCCTTTGTCGCCGAGATCACGGGCGCCAGCGGCGCGGGCGGCGCGGGCGGCTGCGAAGGCGTGTCCTGCAAGAGCACCCGTACCTAGAATATGTGTTGTTGTCCCATTTTGGTGTTGAAGGAAATCTACCACCGCTGGAAATATTTCTTTTTGGCCAAGGGGGCTTACAGTTGGGGGGGTTGTTTCGCATCAACATATTTGTTTGTTGCAATGACTTCCATTTGCTTAAGCCCCCTTGGCCAAAAAAGAAATATATTTCCAGTAGTGGTAGATTTCCTTCAACACCAAAATGGGACAATAAAACATATTCTAAAGCAAAAGGAAGATGACGTTGAGTAGAACAACTGCAAACTAGCGGGGCTTCCTCAGCAGTACAAGGAGGCATGCCTCGCAAATACGATGAAACAATGAAACATGTTCAACTTCAACAATTTTCAACACGACATCCAAACACTTTCAACCAGAAGGTGCACCAACCTGAATGGTCGCTCGCGATGAGTAGCATAGAAGGAATGAAGTGCGCGAGGGTGACACGACACAGCGTAGGTTGGCTTAGGGATGGTTTCGCGCTGGCTTCGGGCGGGTTTAGGGCTGGCTTGGGGTTGGTATGGGGTTTGCTCAAGGTTTGTGGGGGTTTGGCTTGGGGGGCTTGAGGGCTGGCGCTTGGCTGCATGGAAGGTTTCGCATTTGGGCATGGCCCTGCTTGAGGTGCCACTTTTGGTTCTCTAGACGGTGCTCCGAACTTTGCCTCTGCACCAGCCCTGGGCTGGGGATGGGTCTGCTTTCAATTGTGCTTCCGTCAACACCTCCAGCTCCAGTGCTTTCGTCTAAGAAAACCTCCGACGAAAAACCCCAGGGCCCAAGGCTTCAACCCCCTGAAAACTATCTGGACCCTTGAAAGTAGACGTCGGCTCCCAAAACACACCCATTGGATTCTCAAACATCTTTCCGCCCGTGTCCTTCGGCTTTTCTTTCGGCTCCTGGGAATCGAAATTCCGGGCAGTTCCATCATTGGACCGGGGTTGGGTGCTTTTTAACCACACCTAGGCTCATGCCCCGCTGGCAAGCGCTGAAAAAAGAGCACGGAGGCCCAGAGGGTGACTCCTCTACTGAGTATTGGCTGATATCGAGCTAGATACCAGGAGAGAGCATGTCAATTGAAGATGCTGAGGGCTTGCCCCGCAAGTTTCAAACGAGTGAAACTATCTACCTGCTCCCTAGTGTTTGTGCTCCCAGAACTGCTGGGGTCGTGTTGGTTGCTATGAGTACGGCATCCACATCCTCTGCCCCAGGTCTTGCGGGGCGCCTTTGCCATTCTGCAGATTGAAATTGGGCAGGCATATGCAGGCATCATGTGGCCATGGGGCATAACCTATGGCTCCATTTTGGGGTGGATGAACATTCATTTGCAACCTATTTTGATGTTCACCAGGAGGAAAGGGTTTTGACCCACAGCCATGTAGTTGGACCTGATTCAGGGCGACACCACACAATTGAGGTTCGGTTCACATCTCAATTTGGAACTGACGTAGAGGGACTCACCAAAGGGGTGAATGAATTGCGAAACGAAATTCTGAACTGAGCGACCTGCAGGAAGCGAGCCTTGGGTGGGGCTACGCATTCCTTTGTGAGGTCATAAATGTAGATGCCTGATTGATCCAGCAATACTCGTGGGTGATTCCCGTTTGTTGGGGCACTAATCCATTTCAGGGAAGGAACTCCCCTGAGTCCTATGGTGGTCCTGCAGAGACTATTTTTACTCGCACAACTATGGCAAGTATTGCTGGTGGGGTGTGGGGTTGTGGGGTTGTGGGGTTGGGATGGGGCTACCGGGTACTTTGAAGCTAGGCTGGCAGGTTCATCCCATCCATCACCAGACTGTTGCAGGGACCCAACGGTGAATTGCCGACTACAAAGGGAAAATGAAGCCAGAATTTGCAGATTGTATCTTGGGATCCAATTAGGATTCCAAACTGGGACCATGAGGGGCCATCCTACCTAAGGTAGCTCAAACATCATCATTTGAGCCAAGTCGTATTGAGTTACGACTCTCGGCGGGATGTTTTAAGGGGACACGTGACACAGCTTGATTGCCGCTCCCTGGCGCCTCCGCGACTTTGTCTACAGGGACGGCCGGCTCGTCCGCTTCGGCCATGGCCTCGGAAAGCTCAAAGGTTGCCCTTCCTCTCACAAACTTTCGATGGACAAAATCCAAATGGGACCACTTGGGTCGCTCATCCCAGGGTTTCATCCGTCCATACCGCGGGAATTTGTACACACCTGTGGAAGGGTCCCTGACAAATGAATTTCCTCTTTGTGGGGTTGAAACCCTGCGTTGTGCTGTGCTGGGTTGGGGCTGACAGGTTCTTTGAAACTAGTCTGGCAGGTTCATCCCATCCATCGCCAGACTTTTATGCCGACTACAAAGGGAAAACGAAGCCAGGGTTTGCAGATTGCATCTTGGGATCCAATTAGGATTCAACACTAGGACCATGAGGGGGCATCCTACCAAGGTAGCTCAAACCTCATTTAAGCCAAGTGCTATAACCAATGCCTCCATTTTGGGGCGGATGAACACCCATGTACCACCTATTTTGATGTTCACCACGGGTACAGGGTTTTGACCCACAGCCATATTGAGTTACGACTCTCGGCGGGATGTTTTAAGGGGACACGTGACACAGCTTGATTGCCGCTCCCTGGCGCCTCTGCGACTTTGTCTACAGGGACGGCCGGCTCGTCCGCTTCAGCCATGGCCTCGGAAAGCTCAAAGGTTGCCCTTCCTCCCACAAACTTTCGATGGACAAAATCCAACTGGGACCACTTGGGTCGCTCATCCCAGGGTTTCATCCGTCCATACTGCGGGAATTTGTACACACCTGCGGAAGGGTTCCTGACAAATGAATTTCCTCTTTGTGGGGTTGAAACCCTGCGTGGTGCTGTGCTGGGTTGGGGCTGACAGGTTCTTTGACACTAGGCTGGCAGGTGCATCCCATCCGGCCACACCGAGACCCAAAGGGAAAATGAAACCAGGGTGTCAATTGCATCTTTTTGCACATGCATCTCGGGCTTCAACTAGGATATGGTCCCAATTTGCAGAGGATCTTACAACTAGGAATATGAGCGGCTACCACTAGCTGCCTAAGATAGCATTGACATTTACAGAGGGTTTTTATATGATCAAAACCTTGGGTAGCTCGAACATCATCATTTGAGCCAAGTTAGATTGACTAGGTCCTCCAGTAGAGAGGTTAGAATAAGGCTACCCTTTTTTCTGTAGTCTATTTTAGTAGGGGAACCGTCCCCAAAAACAGGGTGAGAAAGGGCACTACTGGGTGACCTAGTTGAGTTACCTCTAGGCAATCCCCAGATTGCGCCTCCTCAACTTTGTCCGGAATGGCCGGCTCGTCCGGTTCGGCAATGGCCTCGGAAAGTTGCCAGGCGTTGCCCTTCCTCCGACACAAACCGTGGACCAAAAATCCGTCCATGATATTTAAAAAATGGGGCACCACTTAGGTACCTGGAGTCTCCATGACATAATTGAAAAACTGGGGTCAATTGAGACGGGTTATGGAGATGGGGGTCATTTAGGTACATGGAGTGTCCCATTTTTAAGGGGTCACGACCCCATTAAAGGGTCATGACGTTGGGCTGAGGGCCATCCCCAGTAGCCGCTTTGTGGGGTTCCGAAACTTGAAGCGGAGACGGGGCAGTAGGCACTCACAGAAAAAAAAGAGACATGGCAGGTCTTGCCTCTGCCTGGCAATGGAACAAAAATGAACCCAGTGTTGAGTAAGCCGGAGAGTGCTTGGCGTGGCGTGGCGTTTCGCCACTCTACGGTGTGACATGGAATCTCAAGGGGCAATTGAAACAAACATTTCGCTACCAATGCCTGTTTCAGACTTCATGTTCAGTCAGTCAGTGGGGGGGGGGGTGGAAATACTGTGGATGGACGAAATCCTGCAACACCTAAGACACCCTAGAATACTGATTTCCCTGTAAATACCAACAAACAATGGTTTTCCATGGTTTCAAGTTGCTTCAGGATTTCGTTCTTCCACAGTATCTGCTACTCTTCCCGCGTTTTTGTGCGTAATCATTGCCAATTGAGTTCCAAAACCCGTAGATGCTCGTTACTTTGGCCACAACTCCCACAATTTCGCTCTGTTGCAACGTACATTATATTGCATTTATTTGTTGAAGTCAGTCGCCAGTGCTTTCATCACCAGTGTGGGTGTGTGTGAGGTGCAGTCTATGTCTACTGCAGCTACAATTGGTTGGGAAAGTTGGGAAAGCTTATAAAGCCTTGGACATGTCTCCGGGCCTCGAGCGTTCCTTTGAAGGGAGCCCTGTATTTATTGTAGATGTTGTTGTTGCCTCCTATTCTATGCTTTTCCTTTCAACACCAAACATCCCGTGTGCAACTACCCTGTGTGCCCGACAATAGCCCGACACTCTCAAAACGAGTACTTGAAACCCATAGCAAGCCTTGATCATATCACAATGCAATACTCCCCTTTGTCTTCGGAACATTTGCGCATCCCTTGTTGCATCCCCAGGGCCCATTTGACTGGGGATAAACCCCGTCCTCTTCCTGCGCTTCGCCCCCCGATTCGCCCCTCCGGCCCCGCACCTCCGCCTGCGCATCCACTGCCTCCACCACACAGGCGGGCCACTCGTCCGCCTAACTGGCTGGGGCTCATGGGATTAACTTGGATCCAGGAAAGCCGTAGCAGCAAAAACTTGGTGAACAAACCCACTGGGTACTTACCTCTTGTGGCTAGCATCTTATGATGAAATTGCGAAACACGCTGGGTACTTACCTCCTGGGATCAATTGGCCATGGGCCAAAATCCAAATCGTATCCCCAGTGAACATCCCAATCCAACGACTAAAATAGGTCCTAAAATGGGTATTGAATTCACCCACCCCAAAATGGCACCATTTTGATGCACAGTCAATTGGGATCCAGGAAAGTCATAGCAGCAAAACTCGGGATGGACAAACAGGCGTCAAATCATAAAATCCACTGGGTACTTACCTCTTGTGGCTAGCATCTGGCATTGATGCCTGATTCTAAACCCAGCAGGATTCTCATAACCAGCACGCACTTGAGTTGGCCAAAAACGCATCCGGACGTGTTTACCACCAACATGGTCCCAATAAGTACTAGGATGGGGAGGAGAAAGCCTTTGTGGTTAAAGCCAACAATCCATATTACTTGTGGATGTGACACGTGACATGAAACAGCAGCCGAAAACCGAACAAAATCGTCAACAAGTCTCTGAGGATCTTTTGGCCAAGTTCTACAGTCAGACCTATGCTCAATGGACGGCCCTGGTCGCATGCTGGCCTCAGCCTCAGCTTCAGCTGCTTCGGCTTCAGCCTGGCAAAAAAAAAAGCTTCGGGATGGTGGGCAGATTTGAGAGGTCAGAACAAGGTGTCTATTTGAGTAGGGGAACCCTCCCCCAAAAAAGTTGGTAAAAGGGCACCTAGCTGGGAGACCCAGCCAACATGGAACTGTACTACCCCTCTACCAATATGCCACCTGACAGGTGGGGTCACTTTAAAAATGGTCCAAACCAGGACCCCCCAAACGTCAGATCCATGTTAATTGGTGGAAGGGCATGTATCCTAAGTTGCCCAGTGAGCAAATTGTTTTGCAAAAAATGTCAGGATGTCAAACAAGGTAACCTGCAGCGTCCAAAGAACACACTGGTGTGGGCTTGTGTGAAAACAGGGCAACACCCAAATCCCAGATCTGTGGTTTCCTGTTGAATTCAGAAGAAAAAAAAGCCGTACCCCCATCTCCCACCAAAGAAACAGATCCCTTTTTGCACCACCCTTGCCCAGCCTGGATATCGGCAGCCTGGATCTCGGCAGCCTGGATCTCTGCGACAGCCTCCGCCACTGGTTCGTCCTGGGTACGTGTTTGAAAGCCAGCAACAGGAATGTCTACAGGAAATCGGCCAACAGACTTTCCCGCAGAATTTCCAGCTGGTTGCTTTTGAACAAGCTCATTTTCGGGGAAGCCGAACATATATCATCGCATATATAAGCTTATATAAGCCCCTTTTGCTCATTTCAACCAGGGAAACCGTCTGGACGACCAGTTTGGGTGCGCCCAGTGGGTCGAAGCCGCTCCTCTGCTGCCACGGTTGCTGCATCCTCCGCCGCTTCGTCGGCCGCGTCTGCAGCCTGCGCCACGGCCGCGAAGGGCCGAAGAACTCGCCCCGCGATGTTCTGGGTGATGTTGACGTATGGGTCAAAACTAAACCACCAGGGGACCGCAGGGTTGAGTCCTTGTTTCGGGTTCCATGTTGGGTACACATTTTGACCCACAGCCCACAGCCATATGAATCAACCCTAGGTTCTCAATATGGGGGTGTTTGGTGATTCCCTCCAAAAGTGGTCTGATTCCCCACCAAACCTGGGGACACCTCCTTATTAGTAAATTAGGGTTGATTCATATGGGGTCTTCATTACCCCAGATTTGGATTTCAACCCATGTCCAAATTTTGGGACATCCTTGGTCAATGGCTGCTGTACAGTTGCTTGTCTTCCGCAGTTCCAGTCCTGATTGGCCCTGGGGTGTTGCTTTGAGGGCATCAGGTTCACCTTGCTTTGAAGGGAACCAACATACTTTTGACACATACCCATCTGCCAGTTGACAATTGAGTTGATTTGTGAATCAACTGTCCAGCCTCAGCTGCGATGTCTGCCTCCGCCTGCCACGCAAGCTGCTGTCTCACCCTGAACGCCCTGAACAAAACATCGATGCCCTCTTACCCTTTCTCCAATAAAAGTGGACAGGGCCAGTCAAATGCCTTTCCTTTGGTCGTTGACCAGCAAAGTGTACGACATGTTGTGTAGTTGAAACTCTTCATGTGGGTGATTCCCTCAAAAGGAACCTCATGTGAGCTCATGTGGGATTGTCAAAAGTGGGGAGTCCTTTTTGGTAGGCGGCACGCACCGGCACCGTCCAAAAAGGAACCAGCGGGCCGGTCTCTCTGCCTCTTCCACCAGCTCGGCAGCCTGACGTGTGCGTCTCACAGATTCAAATCCGGGTCTTCGTTTGGAGAACCCCCCCTGCGATCTGCGGCTTAAGAGTTCTTCGAGTTGGTAGAGCTCTTACTTAGGTTCCACAGCCCCAAAGAACCTTCTTGGAAGCTTCTTAGAAGGGCTTCTTAGAGTTCGAGTCCCTAGAAGGGTTCCAAGAACCATTTCTGGTGGATATACTGACCATCTCTATGGCGAAACAAACATCCGGAGCCCCCAAACCAATCGGCCGCCAATCGGCCAATCGGCCGCCGCCTAGGTGTCCGAATTTGTAAAAACCGACGGCACTGCTCATGGTTAACCAAACTGAAGTTACACCCAGCTAAACTCAACCTTTATGTACATAATGGTAACTAATGGTTAACTAAACCTTTGTGTATGCTTGCGTAAAAAGAACACCCATTGCGAAAGTCCTGAAAACTGTGAGGTGCTTTTAGAAAACTTTGGGATTGCGTTGGATAGCCTTGGTCTAAGTACATGTTACATGATAGTTACGTGAGCCAACCGACTCTCGGAGCCCGCGTTGGAAACTTCTCAGATATGCAGCGCATCCAACTTTTGTCACTCAAAGTCATTGGGTAACTGGGACCCGTTGGGTAGTGATGCTCATCATATAAGGCAAAAAGAAGCTAAAGGTGACAGTCGCCTCCACTTGTCGGCTGAATGATCTCATGTTCCATCTGAACTTCTACCAACTAACAAAAATCCCCACTGGAGGGTCCCTTTTGGGAGGAACATTGTCTTCCAAGACCCGCGTCGGGTTCCATGTCTAGGTCCTCCAGTGAGGCTAGAATACGGGTGCCCTTTTTTCTGTAGTCTAGTAGGGGAGTCCTCCCCAAAAACAGCAACGGTAAAAGGGCACTGGGGGACCTAGCATCTGAACTTCTGCCACCAACTCACATAAAGCCCGGTCTTCCAGGACCCCCCCCCCCCAGTCGAGTAATCGTCAACTGCCCTCAGATCCCCTGCTAAAAGTTCAACTTTTAGTGGATCACATGGAAACCCCAAAACACTACAAAAGCTAAAAAGCAAAAGGAACCGGATGGCTGGGAGCCACCAAGTTGAGACTTCAAACATCTGAACATGTCAAGCCACTTAAGACATTCGCCCGCCTCTGCAGCTACAACCTCGGCGTGAGCAGCCTGCCACTTGCAAGGTTCACGCGCAAATGACTGGCAGGCCATTGGGGCGCTCATTTCAACTCAGTCAATTCACTGCGAAAAGCCGAACGGGGAACTTTGAAAGAGTCACAAAAGACTATACCTGCTGCTGCGTGTCAAATTGCAGTGTGGGGGTGTGGGGGCTTTTTAGTGCATCGGCACATCCTCAGTAGCCTGCAAGGATTTAAACTGCCAACAGGGTATCTGAAAGACGAGTCCATCTGTGCGCCTTCTCAAACGGTGTCATTTTCTGCGAGGCACGTGATGGTACGTGCAATCAAGCTCAAGCGATGCATCAAGAGTGAAATCAAGTTGTATTCTTCGCTGGTTTCTGATATACAACCTAATAATATCACCAATAACAATGGTCCCATCGGAAAAATGGCAACAGACATACCAAAAAATCCAAGTACCTCGTAAGGAAGTACTTGAATCCCCTTCAACCCACAAACACGATCCTGAAAGGGTACTTACTTGGTCCTTGGAACAATACGGGGAGCCGAGTTCGGTTTTCGGCACCCTGGGAATATCTGGTCCGGTCGTCTTGGATCCTCTTCTGTCGTCTGCGATTCCACCCTTTCCGGACCGAACCAAATGCTCAAACCGGCACTTGCCAGCTAAGGATGCAGCATAAATTACATCTGGTGCATGTTTCGCACTATTGCCTACGGTCGGAGACGACATCGCTAGTTTAGAATATTTAGAATGGCCGATAGTTTTGGTTTGGGGACCGGACACTTTGAAACACATGGCTGTGGGTCAAAAATGGGTACCCATTTGGGGAACCCTGGAACCTGGTAGATGGAAACATGGACTAAAACCTGCGGTCGCCTGGTGCATTAACTTTGACCCACACCCACATCTTTTCCGGGGGACCTTATATAATAACTACTTCCATTTGGTTAAGGCCCCAGGAAAAAAAATGTGTCCAGTAGTTAATTCCTTTTACAACCAACAGGGGAAAATCAATATATATATATATATGTACATACATATATATATATATATATTCGTTTCAGCAAATGGAGGATTAGGAAGATGGCGACGGGCCAGTACCTCGAGTGTGAGTCAGGGAAAACCAACGGCGGCCTCCGCGGCTTCAGCGTTGGCCTGCAGGTGAAGCATCAGAGGCATCGCTGCGTATGGGAAAAACTACATGGCTGTGGCGGTCAAAACCGTTTTGGGATCCCATTTTGGTTGGTAGGTGAATTCACCACCCATTTGAGGCGGGATGTTCACTGGGGGTGCGATTTGGACTTTGACCCATGGCCATGTGGGTGGCTCGTCTTTTCTACCGGACCCCCTACTGTTTTTGGGTTGTCCTTTTGGGCTTAAACTAACCCCCGAAAAGGTACCCTCGACAAAAAGACACGCCTATCTTGGACATGCGATGTCGCGATGCGCATGGAACAACTGGAGCGGTGAATGCAACAGCAACTTGACGGGTTCGATAATTTGACCATCACGGGTGGATCAATCGTAATCTTACCCCTTAAAACTCCAAGCCCTGGGGAAGTTCATCTTTTACAGACATATAGCCCATGTTACCCAACAAGTTGAAAAGTTGTGTTTTTAAGAGGTAAGTAATATATTTTGTCTAACAAAGGGCAAGTTGTAGTAAGCAGAAGCCGAGTCAAAATTTACCACACTTGCCTCCCAGTCTGTATGGCTGCATGCCCAACCATGTTCATCATTCACTTGTTCAAGGGGTATCTATGTGTTCACTGTGGTCGTGCCCAGAAACATACTGAATTCTCCAGGTACCCCTGCACAAACAATCAATAAGAAAGGCGAGTCACATTTGACACAACTAGCCACTCGATGCCCATTGTTCCTGGCCTCCTCCTCCATCGGGGATGGCGGCAAGGAACTACCTCACAAGCATGGACACGTTGAAACCCAGAAGAATACCTAAACATTCTTGTAAACTTGTTGGGGAAACCAAAAGGAACCCACTCGTGTGCTAAATTGCGTGAGGTTTTGGGCCTAAGGGGCTGAGTTTTTCCATCCACCCGAAGCAGGATTGTTGGCATGAGAACACCGCAGAACACCCAGGATGTTTTGTAAAAAATAAAACTCGCTTGATCCGCCTTGATCCAAGTGGTTAAACTGCTCTTTTTGTGGGGGGGGGGATGAGAAGGGATTGCTCAATGAGTGCACATGTGCAATGTATGGATGCCATGGGATTCAATTTAAATGGTTTGAAATTTGAGCGAGGGTTCCCGAATTAGCGCGTGGACCTTGTTAACTGCTGGCTTTGCCAACGGGCGCCGCAGAGCTATTTGGGCTCCGGCTCTTAGAAGCAGCTGTGGGCATCCATGGCCCAATGGCGTCTGTTGCGTTTCTGGGAGACGCAGCGCATGGCGACATTCACAAGCGCCCTGGTAACATTGGATTGGATTTGTTGTCATTGCAAATTGCCACTGGTTAAATTGGCCAGGCCGGTTCAGTTGAGTTTGATATTATACTACACTACTAAACTACATACATGTACATAGCGTTGCATGGCATCATGCATTTGTTTGTTTAGGCTGCGGGCACTGGTGCGTCCACATTTGCCTGCAGCCGCTCGCCCGCACAAAAATAGCGCAGTGGCGGCGGTGGTGTCAATGCATGTTTGTTGTTTCTAGTGATAGCGCGAGCACCAAAAACTTGCTTGCAACTCAAACCTTCGCCCCGTTGGGCCCCATTCTGCCCTATTGCAGTCTTTGCACGGAACCCGAGGACAAGGCTGCGGAGGCTGACCAGCTCATTGAGGCTATCGCATCAGCCAATAAGCCACAGAGTCGCAAACTGCTGGTTTCCCGCACCATGGGCGGGAGAGGATACAGCTTGATGGGGCTGATCCGTGCTGTTTGTTGCTGGGACGCAGGGAAGGGTGGGGAGCGCTGCATTTTGATTTGCGCATTCAATCAACCCAGGCTTCTCACTCATGCTGCGGAACGCTGGTAACCTGCAGAAAGCTGTAAAGCACGCGCTGGCGTTGGAATCTTGCCGAAACACAACCGGCATCGCTAAACTGAAAGAAACAGTCTTATATGGTTATGGTTAGTTGGTTTTGCTGTTTGCTTAAAACTTATTTTCTCCGAAGCCAGTCATCAACCAACCGGAATAAGTGCGACCTGTTGGCTGATGGCTGGCCGGCAGTTGTGATTGTTGGGAAGGGCAATGAAGGCAACGAACCAGTTGGCCCTTCCCTTGTCCATTCTGCCCAGCCCAGGTGTTTGACGACACGACTTACCTTCGCCTCCTGCAGGACTTGCAGCAGGTTCCCCACGCTTCGACCTTGTCCCGATCACTCCTCAAGATTGACATTGTCATGTGCCTGCAGCAGGCTTAGTCTTGAAGGGTTGCCACTGCCACAGCGGGCCGGCTACCGATTTCCACCCCTGAATTTCCTGCAAAAAACCTCGGGTTAGGGCCCGGTTAGGGTTAGGACATGACCGGGGAGGAGGAGGAGGCCCCCAGGAGGCCCCATTGAATTATTATGGGGTGTGGAATGAACTGTAGTGGAGTGGCTGTGGAAGTGATGTGCTGCCCGGCGGGCTGCCGGCTCTTGATTAGTGCTCACATTTGTCAGCTTGCAAGGATGAGGCAACGTCATCTATCACAAGCTGGATGGCGCCAACATTTCTTGAGCTTGGTGACGGACGCAAGCCCCCAGGCGGGGCAGGACTACCAGCTGACACAGATGGAGAAGATTTCCCTCGAAAAGTAGCTTGGCTTCCGTTGTTAAACTCTAAAAGGGCTCCTGGCTCCTGCGTCAAGTGCTTCATGCCACTCACGCCACGCCTGTCGCATCCTGCTGCGCTGGACATTATGTTGTGTAGGTCTGTCTGAGTCTGACCATGCTTGTTTTAAGCAAGCTCAGCTCAACTCAACCTCATGTTGTTTTGGTGCCAAGTGCCAAATGACTCAAAAAGCTGCTGAGTCATCACTATCCAATCAGCGTTTACTCGTACAAAGAAGGGCGCACACCAGGCCCCCGCCAGCATGAGGAACTGTGTCACGTCCGTCACGGAGTACGTGCGCAAGTGCATGGAGAGCAATGAGGCCATGCTGGGCTCGGCGCTCCTGGAGTCGGTCGCCGACTGCGTTGACTGCTGGCGGTGCACGTCATCAGCTTAGGTGGGGAATTGGCCGGCGGGCGGCGTGACAGTTCACGGTCATTGTTCGAGGTTGTTGTCTAGGGTCGCGCTGCCCTGACATGCCGGACATCCAATCTCCAGTCAAGTCAAGTCTAGCCCGGAGTCCGGCCAATCCGTTCCTCCCAAAATCGAGTTTGACTGCACCTCAGTGCAGTGCAGTGCCATGGTTGGTTTAGTGGCTGGTGGGTGTGTCATTCGCTATTCCTGGTTATCGCCTTTTTTGGGGTTGGTTTAAACGGAAGAGAAAGGGTCGCTTTCTGTGAGCATTGTGGTGTGTGGTGTGGTGGGGTTCTTTCCAGAAAGGGGCGTTTTGAGTCTTTGAGTGGTCGTGAGTGTGAGCGTTGGGAGACGTCACCCGGCACTGGGCACCCTCTCAAAGTTCCTTTCCCTGGTTCCCGGTTTTCTCATGGGCTATGGATTTAGATTGGCCAGCCAGCCAACTCAGCCAACCCTCCATTTTGAACAGCCCAGCAGCCCAGCAGAGGCTAGTTCTGGAGTTTTGGGGTCAATGTGTGTTGAGTTAGCATTTCTCTTGACTCTTAATGGGACGCGTCCCGTTTGATTTTCTTGGATGCTATTGATAGGTTCATTGGCAAATTTGAGGCAATTAGGTTCCTTGACTCCTTGTTTCCTTGGCTCATGGGTTTGGACCGGACTTATTGGCTCATTGGGTATTCCTGCACTCCTGGACTCCTGGACTCATGGACTCATGGACTCATGGACTCGAGTTCATGGTGTTATGAGTTAGGACGTTATGTTAAGTTAAGTTATGAGATAATATATGTTCTTGTCTATATTTGTTCGCTCGATGCATTGGTTCGCTGCGCGGCGCATAGATTCCCGGATCCGTGGTTTGATTCGTTGTTCCAGCGATTCATTGACTCTGCTGTGGATCACGGATACATTGGTTCATCAGTTGAGTAAGCATCTTCGGGATGGGGTGAGGTGAGAAGCGCTTCCTTTGCCGCATTTGCCCTTGGCCCTTGGCCGCCTTGGTCCTTGACACCCTTGTATTGAATTTTCGGCCCCATCACTTTCACCCGCCACTGGCCACCACCTCACCATCCCTGTGCTTTTTAAGGCCATGCGGCCTGGGATCCGGATGCACGAGCCTTCCGTTCAAACTCGGGGCGCTTCTTCATCAACTTCGCCTACAAGTTGGGTCTGACTCATTGAAGGTCGCTTCCCTACGGGTTATTTCATTCTTATCAGACTTTGGCACTGAGTCCAGGATCCCCGCTGCAACTTGGACTCGGACTCGAATTCCCAGTGAGATTTCATGTGCATGTGTTCTTTTGGTGCCTCTCAACTCTCGAACAACGATACCCGGGTCGGACGGGTGTCCAAAAGCGATGCCGGCCCAAAAAAAATACAACCTGAGAAATCCTGAGAAACATATTGAACAGCGATCCGGGACTAACGTCGCAATGAATACACCGTAATACATTTTTCGACTAATTTTGGCGCTGACTGATGTTGGATTGCTGCGTTGCCTTGGTTGAGAGCTGGCTGGAGTAACAGTTCAGGTAGCAAGTTGACCAGCGGCTGGAGGGGATGTGTAGGTAGATGGAGAGAACAGGGGGCCAGGGCTGAGGGTGATCGTGTGATCAGCTAGTGTTGTTCCAGTTCCCAGCTCGCACGTTAGTTTTATTGTTCCTGATTTCCGAGGCAAGCGGTGTGGACTTCGCTGCGCTGACAGAAGGGGTGTTCTGCGAGAGCACATGCTTGGCCCGCGGTGAGGCGGGTGATTGACCAGTTAAGGCGAAACACGTCATGGTTCAAGTTCAGAAGTTCAGAACAGAAGAGAAGGTCAAAGTTCAGCAGTTATAGACGTAGGCCTCTGATCTAAGATGAAAGTGAAGGTCACCACTACTGGATGGGGTTCCCTTCGCTATGCCACAGTGCGGCAAGTTGTTGGAGGGTTGTTGAGGTGCGGGTCGTGGCCAGTGGGCCGTGGGTGGATTGCATGTTATTGCACATTTTGGTTATTTTGGTTGGTTGGAAAGTTGGACACACATGAGAATCTCATTGGATTCGATTGACTGTTGACCGTCTGGTCGTGTGCCGTGTGCCCCCTACTAGTGTTCTAACATTCTAAGCCAGGACTTTGCACTTGGACTTGAACCAGCCACTGTTAGCTACTGTTGTTGCAGGTGCTGGCAGGAACAGCTGCGGCGCTGGCAGCCCAGGCTGAGGTGGTGGCAGCAGCGGAGGTGGAGCAAATGCAGCACCTTGCGCCGCTCCTTCCATGGGATCCTCAACAAGAAACCTGGCCCCGGCTCCTGCCTTTTGCAATACCTGCTAAGCCCAAAACCTACTTTTTTCAGGGTCAAATCGAAAAAACCAGGTTTCTCGAAAAAAACCAGGTTTTGCAAAAAATAACCCATAATTTGCGCGTAATTTACCCGTAATTTCCCGTAATTTACCCGTATTTTGCCGTGCTCAAATGCTTGGCGAGAAAAAACCTGGTTTTTTCGTTTCAACCCTGAAAAAAGCAGGTTTCGGGCTTAGAAGGTAATGGTGCCTGGGGACCCTTGACTTACACATCGCCAGTCATTTTCCGAAGTTCCTTCCTTTACCTGATTTCTCAGCGAGTTAGCATCAGCCGCCCTGTCCCTCAGACTCAGAGGAAAAACATATTTGCCACAATGCGGCCCAGGATATCATGTCCATTTTGCCGCGGTTTGAGAAGTGGTACAGAGGCTTCCTGAAATGCCTGGAACCCCTC